ACTATTTTTAGCCTTAGAATAGCATTATGACGACCAAAATAATAGTATATAGTATTATTGTAATGATTTGCAATGATTGACATTAGTAATATAATGATTTACGACATTATTTCCTAGCATTATTACATGTTGTTATTATATGGCGTTATCGAAAGATATATAAACCTTGTCTTTTCCCCAAGGCAGAAGGACATCAATGTATGCTTCCCAATTAATCCTTTGAATATTTACATCGCTCTTGGGTATATTTGACCCTTCTCTTTGCCTATTTTTTTGTATTAAAAGCCTTATTATTGTATAATAAACTATAATTCTATATTGAATATATATTGGGTTTATGGTATTTTTATTGTGTTTTTATAGTGAAATTATTGATATTTTTAAGTAAACCTTGTTATTTTTATCTTCTTGTTTAGTTAATTTATAGTATTTTTGTTTTATTTTAGGCTTTTCTTTAGTTTTTCTTGTTTAAAACATTTCTTAACCACTCTTATACGTTAAGTCAAGTAATATATTTGTTTGACTTAACTAGCGACGACACATTTTATTATTATTATATTTAATATTTAGTTAAGCCAAGCAAGCATATTACAGTTTTGGCAATGACGACAGGACCCAAAACTGTTCTCTTTTGTGATTTCAATCATTTCTTTCTTAAATTTCTCTTAAAATTTTCTTTGAATTTCTTCTTAAATTTTTTATTTTCTTGCTATCTATCATCTATACGGGATAGCTTCTTTCTTATTTTATCTATTTATTTTTATTTTTTTTTTAGTTTAAGTATTCTCTTTCTTGTTAAAATAATATATTTGATATATATTATTTTGGAATTCAAGGCCATATATAGTCGTTGATGGTCTGGGTATTAGTACTATTTCCTCTGATTATATCTTAGGATATCTTTAAGTTCTAGTGGCTAATACTCCTTGTAAAGGGCAAACATTTTTGTGTTATACCTGGCCGCACCAAAGAACAATAGGTGCCACCCCATATTTGACCTATTGCAAAATCTTATAGTGCCTTAGAAGACTATTGAATTGAATTCCATTAAACATTTATTTTTTTTTTATTTTCTTAAAATTTTATTTAAAAAAAATTTGTTTATAAATTTGATTTTATCCAGATTGATAGTGTTCTAAACTTTTATATTTTTTTTTTATAAAATATTATTATTGTAACTACAATCAATTGGGTTAATTAACTTTCAAGATATTGTGTTGCAATTTTCTTAAATTTATTCTTTTTCTTCTTTTTTCTTTTTTATTATCTTATTTTTCTTTCTTTTATATTATTTTATTTCTCTTTTATATTTTTTATTAATTATATTCTAAAGATCCTTTAATCTATAAACATAATGGAGTATCTATTAACAATATATCAACCTCAAAATTTTAACAATTGCTCCACTACTACACAACCTCTTCTTAATGCTCTTAGAAAAAATCTTCTTTTTTTATTCCAACAAATAATTCAACAAGTAGTTGATAAAAGACCAAATCTTCAAAACAATAATAGCAGATACAAAAATTATAATAATAACAAACCAGTACAAAGAAACTACAAATGCAAAAGATGTCAAAAATTTGGACATTCTGCTAGATATTGTAAAGCATCTGCTTGCTTTGAATGTTATAAAATTGGATATATAGCTCGAAATTGTTATTTAAATCAAAACTGGAGAAACAGCAAGTGCAATAATTATCAATTACAAAATAATAATAATAATTATCAATCACAGAACAATCAATCTCAACAAAATAATAACTCTCAACAATCTGTTTTACAATTAAACAGCAATAATAATAATAATTTATAACAAGAAAAATATATGATTGCTCAAACTTTTCTTGAAACAACAAACAATTCAGTTAGTATTAAAAAGCAAGAGGATCAAAATATTAAAAACAATCAAAGTTTTATAGAGAAATTAAAAGAAGATACTGATTCTACTCAAACAAAGAATCAACAAAAATCAAGTTTAGCTCAAGAAAAAGATGATATTTCAACTCAAATAATTAGTCAACTACTATTGACAATGCAAAATAAAGATAATAAATATCAGTTAAATGATACTACTTTAGAAGACAATATTTCTTATTATCTGAATCAAATAATGGCTTGGACTAATAAAAAATTTAATTACAAAAAGAAAACAAAACTTATTACTAAAGTTGATAATATAATTAATTAATTTATTTACAAAATTTTAAAAATATTTTTATTATCAAATTAAGAAAAATCTTTATTTACAAAAATTATTCAATTGTATCATCTGAACCTTCCTCCACATCAACAAACATATCTTCTACTACCTCTTCCAACCCTTCTCTTCTCCTACTCTCAGCATAAACTCTTCTTTCTCTTTCTTGACGAAGCTCCTCTTCTGCATCCTTTAATCTTACTCGAAGTCTATTTCTCTCTATAAGCAATCAATCATATTGCTGTTCTCTTGGCCAATTTCTTGCAACTGAGTCTACTATTGTTTCTTGTTGATCTTCAATAGTTCTATTTAATCCAGCAATTTGGTTATTTAAGACTCTAATTTGCCTTTTTAATTCTTGAATTTCTCTTGCCAACCTATTATATTATATTATATTATTATTATTTTTCTTTTTATTATTATTATTATTATTATTATTTTATCGATATCAACATCACTTCTTTTATTTAAATACAATATTATTACTACTATTATTACCTTCTGTTTGTAGCTTGAACAAAGTCCAAAGTTTCATAAAGAGCTTGGGTACCATCTCTTCCTTGAGTTCGAGTACGTTAACGTAAAGTAGAATATCACATTTTCAACAAAGTTATTATTATTTAAAAATTGTTAAAGAAAATTTTTTGTTGAAACAAAGATTATGCAGTATAATGCATACCCCCTTAATTATAACAAACCTTAATTTGGATCACATAAAAAATCTTAATCTTATTGGACACTTTGATTAGAAAATTGATCTTCAAAAACTGTACGACAAAAAAATTTTACAATTATACCTACTATAGTAAAATGGTGAAGGCGTATAGCCATTGTAGGGTTGTGTGTTCGAATCCTGCTAGTGAACTTGTTAACTCTGCCAACCTAGGGGTCATGATAACGCACTAGCACTATAGTAAACTTTTTATAACTTTTCAAAGTGAAATTTTTTAGAAAAGTTTTAACAATACATTAATGATTAGTAAATTAAAACAGAAGATTATGAACAATTAATTTATTAGTTATCTATTACTTATTATTTATTATTTATTATTATTTATTATTTATTATTTATTATTATTTATTATTTATTTGTTAGCATTTTGATTATTTAAATTATTTTATATATTTATATTTTTTTATCGGCCTAGTATAATATGGTATCTAGGACAGTTTAGAGTGATGATTGGAGCTCTATTCACTTTTCTTATTTATTATTTTTAGGAGAATTTTATTAATTAGAAAGAACAAAAGAATATTATTAGAAATGAATTTAAACTTTGTGAATTATATCTTATATCTAGGGAATATGAGCCTTAACTACAACCTTGCCATCCAAAATTCAAGTAAAGTTGGATATAAAATCGATATTACTTTTCGTATTTAGGGAATATGAGCCCTATAGACAACTTCACCATTCAAAATGAATAAAGTTGGATGTGAAACAGTAACAAGACAACACAAAAATATATTAGAGAACTAAACAATTAAAATTTTATTTACAAAAAAAAAAAAAGAAGAGAAAAAGAAAAGAAAAGAAAAATTAATTAGGAACTGGAATGTTTTCAATTAATGCCTGTAGATTCTCCACCTCAGCTCTCAACATATTTCTCTCATATACCAAAAAACCATACACTCTATTTCTTTGCTGATTTTCCTTAAGATTTTCTGCCATATGCAATTGCAAATTCGCTACCTCTCTTTCTAATCAAGTAACTTCTCCTTCTAATGCTCTTACTTGCCTTCTCAACATTCTAACTTCTTGCAACAACCTGAAATTATTATCATTACTGTTATTATTACTCTAATTATTAGTATCCTTATCATTATACAATATTATTACTACCTCGCATTTTCTTCTTGAAGTATTTCGATTGCTTCAAAGAGAGCATTTTGGTCACTTCTTCATTGATGTCATGTAGTGGAATATCGTTGAGGCATAATTTCTTTAAATAATTATTATTATTAGTATTATTATTATTATTATTATTATTATCGCTATTACTATTATTATTATTTTTACCTTTAGAATTTCTTTGGTGATAATATTTTTCGTTAAAGTTTATTATACCCCTTATATTACACAAATTTATACCTCTGATGATTATTAACCTAATATGGTAATTTTAATAATCAAAAAT